GCAAAATGTGAATGTGAAAATGAGTAGAATAACAGTTTTGCTTTTTATGAATTTTTGAAACTTTGCACACAAATATATTTCTGATATAAATTTTGACTGACACACTATCACTATTATAACAACATGATATTTATAAAAAATATTGAACATAATTTATAGAAATTTTGAATATTATTTTTATTTAATTTCTATCATTTTCTACTCACATGGAGAAGATTTCTGTATACCACAAAGATTGAACAAACACTTGATCTTTTTATTAAAAACATATATGAATGAAATCGGTCTAACTAAATTAGTAAATAGTTGACCACTGACGTCGACTGTACGAGATTTACTATATATATGAACTCTAAATATTTGATAAGAACAATTTATCATTCGCGAATACTGATAAGGTTCTAGTAGTTGGGATCAATTACGATGAAAAAAATATAATTGCACTCTGAGTCACGCTCTTGGAAATAATTTAAATTTTTTGCCAAGTTTTGAATGTGATTAATAGTAATACTATTTTTATTTTTATTTTTTCGTATATGATTAATTTGTTGAAGTGGATCATTCAGTTGTTGGTGTCTGTGTTAATTTTTATTTTTGTGTAAATTCGCACTGATTAATTTTTTTATGTAATTAATTGGGTCATCACAGTGACTGAATAAGTGGTTAAGTTAAATTTTGGCCAAAGTAAATCAGACGTTTAAACATTTTTAACTTCTCATAGGGCAAGTCATAAAAGTAAAAGTAGTAAAACAATTTTAAAAACAATGTTAAGTAGAACAATAAGAAAGCAGACTGAATATGATTATTAATTTGGTACCTTTTAGATTTCAAAAAATGGTATTTAAAAAATTTAATATTCTGTTTGAAATACACATAAAATTGCATATATTCCAAATCTCAATCATAACTCATTAAGATTAACACATTAAGTTAATTCCGAAATTTCATACTAAAACTTTTGTTATTAAAGTTTATTCATTTTTCTCTTTAAAATAGTGTACTAAAATCAATAATTTTTAATTGGTCACTTATTGTTTAAAACTCTGTAATAAAAATGCAATAATTAACTAAAATCACACTAAAATTGATCTGGTTTGTTCGACGTCTCTAGAAAATGAGGTACGACGACCCGGAAATAATTCGAGCCCGGGTCGTCGCGCCGATGCTATCCCTACGAAATGCAAGCTACACTACAAAAGAATCTTAAAAAAAACACAAAAGCCAAGAATTGTGTTTTTATGAATTTAATTGCTGTGGTGAAATTTTAATATTTGTTTTTTTAATTTTTGTTAGTGGTTTATACTTTGGTAATTTGTCATATATTTATCATTATTTAGTTTATGATAATTTGTTTGTTAATGATTTGGAAATCCAATCAGAATTAAATAGATAAAATTTTAACTATATTTATATTTTTCCAAACTTCTTAACAAAACAGTTATACTGCACATTTTACAAAAAGTATCCGGCATTAATTTAATGCGCATATATTTTTGTTTTTTCAACAACAGTATTAGCTTTAATTTTTTTTAATTTTCAAGAATATTAATATTTTATTGTTGCATTTATGACTTGTGTCGAAAATAATAATTTACAATTTTATTCAACATTTAATTAGGCGTCAATTTAAGACTTACTAGTTTAGTAAGATTTTTGCAAAAGGAATTTTAATTGAAATTCATGAAAGCACTTTTATGACGATCCAAAAATATTACTAAAAGTCAAATTAATATTTAAATAGTCATTGAAAATTTTTCTGAAGTTATATTGGAAATAAACAAATTAAAATTTAACGATATTTTCATTTCAAATAGATTCTTAATTTGGATAAACTATGTTGTTCTGAAAGTCGTAGGTTTGGACTCGAAAAACCGTCGAAAAAAGAATTTTATTTAAGAGTTAATTATTATATAATTAGAGTTATAATTTTATAATTTATATAATGATGTAAGTATATTATGCAAGTAGTCATCGAAAATATTATTTTTAAAATTATATTAGAATTAAACAGAACAAATTTTTAACAAAACTCGTAACTTGGATTTACCCACTAAATCCTAAGTTGTTCTGGAACTTTAAATGTTTTACTACAAGAACACTCTATTTGAAAGCAAAACTTGATATTCTCTTTTCTGTAATTTGATATTGTATAAACAAATAATGTAAAATTACAAACGAAATTTTCTTAAAATTGAAAATAAATCATTAACATATCTTCTATATCATCTTATTACTCCTGACGGTAAATACATTTTTAGAAACACTTTTATAGTCGTGACCAGATTTAAGGCGATTACATATTATTGTATATTGTATTTAATATACATTACCTTAATTTTTAACAAACCTTGTATAAGCATGACACGTATTAAATTTACTTGAAATTAAAAAAAAAACTCAAAAAATATATAATTATCAAAAATCACCCCTAGACGTCACTATATTATTGGAATCACTTTCGTAGTCATTACCTTGCGTTGAGGCGTTTAAGAATTATTTTACGATTATATCATAATTTTTTACAAATTACCTCCTTATTGATACACCACTTGTAATATCACAAAGTCCATTCATGTGTCTAATGGACTACAACTAAAATTACTTTGGAATTATTTCCACTTTTTCGACTTTCCTCCAAATTGAAATCGATCACTAAACTGAACTTTTACAACGCGGTCAGTAGCGTGTTATTTGAAGAAGACCTTGTTTTGGTCATGTCAGTCTAATAATGGAATACGTGATTAGTAATGAGGTAACTAACTGATTCTTATCAACAATTTATTTTTGTATAAGGTATTCTAGAGGTTACTTGGAAAAGAAACAGTTCAATAGTAAAGGATTGTTTTGTTAAGTTATTAGAA